CATATCCCTGCGGATGCTCGGATGAGGAGAAGGCAAAGGAGGAGGAGGAGGAGGAGGAGGAGGAGGAGAAGGAGAAGGGAGGAGCAGCACGCAACACCTGAGAGCGACTGAGGGGAAGAAGGGAGGGAGGAGGAGGAGGAGGGAGGAGGAAGAGGATACCTTGAATCGACCGTCTCTCATTCCCATCCGCATCCCAACGACCCCCGAAAGTCGGCAATGGCCTGAGCCAGAGTGAATGAAAGGTGCAAAGGAGGAGGAGGGGAAGAGAGGAGGAGGGAAAATCACGGCAGAGCGCAGAAGTCAAGGAGATGCGGAGGAAGTCAGAGACGGCAAGGGGGAGAACGAGAAGAACAATCAGCAGGAGGAGGGAGATCGAGAGGGAGAAGGGGGGAAGAGGAGAGGGAGAAGGAGGAGGGAAGTGACATGGAGGAAGGGGAGGGAGAGAGGGAAGAAGGGGAAGAGGAGGGACGGGGAGGCCAGACCTCTTCGATGTCCCTCTTGTCGGCACCAAGGGGGATTTTCCCGATGAAAATGCTATTGACCTGAGAATGAAGAAAGAACATGAGGAGGTAGAAGAAGAGAGACGAGAAGAGTGGGGAGGGAGGGAAGGAGGGAGGACAAGAAGGCATGGACGGTGAGGCGGGCGAAGAGAAAGACATGAATGCAAGAGAGAGAGACGCCGACGACAGGAGGGAACAGGAGGAGGAGGACATGGAGAAGGAGGAGAAGAACAAGGAGAAGGACACAAAGGAGGAGGAGGAGGAGGAGGAGGAGGACACAAGAGGAGGAGGAGGAGGAGGAAGGAGATAGATCTAACATCATCCTCTCACCTTGGAGTTTCTCGGCGAAGAGAACCTCGGGTTCTGTCTCTCCCTCATGCCCGACGGCCGACGTTCGGGTTTGATCCCTTGACCCTCCGTTACCTGCGAGCAGTTGAGCCAAGTGGATTGTGGAAGAGGAGGAAGAGGAAGAAACGGATGGAGAGCAGAAAGAGGAGGGAGGGGAGGGGGAGAGAGCTGGTGGTGGTGGTGGTGGTGGTGGTGGTGGTGGTGGTGGTGGTGGTGGAGGAGGAGGAGGAGGTGGTGGTGGTGGTGGTGGTGGTGGAGGAGGAGGAGGAGGAGGAGGAGAAGGAGGTTGTGCTGGTGGTGCAGGAGGAGGACCATTCTCATAGCCTGTCGTGCTGGACGAGACCATGGCGGATAGATCTCGATGGTTCTGATAGAAATATATTGTCAGTAAGCTGAAGGAAGATCATGTTGGTACAAGAAGAATGTGATGTGATGTGATGTGATGTGATGTGATGTGATGTGATGTGATGTGATGTGATGTGACGGGTTGAGATCGACAAGGGGAGGGAGGAGGGAGGAACGGGAGGGGCGAGAGAAGCGGAGGAGAAGAGCAGACAGTAGCAGTCAAAGTCGACCAACCTGTCAAGAATCGTCTGGTTGCCGAGCTTGAGAGCTTCTGACGCGCTCAATCTAATCCGAATGATGTCAACGAGTGTTACGACAGAGAAGTTCAACAAAGGAGGAGGATGATGGAGGAGGTTGGAAAGCAGGATGGAGGGGGAAGAGGATGGAGGAGTGTGATAGTGGTGGTGGTTGTGGTTGTGGTGGAGCAGGAGGGATGGAGGAGGCAGAAGGAGGAGGAGGATGGAGCAGGAGCAGGAGGATCAGGAGCACAGACTTGTCTTCAAAGGTGACCCATGCTCTCCCAGACGCCTTTCCTCCCATGAACATTCCTTCGATCTTCGTCACGGTCCCGCACTGAGACTCGAAGAAGTCCACGAGGTCGAGCGGACGAGCCTTAAAGGAAATGCCGCGCACGAAGATCTGACTGACTGTCAGGCACAAACTCCTCCTCCCTCCTCTTCTCCTCCCTCTCCTCCTCCCTCCTCTTTTCCGCTCTGCCAACCTGATCCGTGTCAAGCTCAGCAAACTTCGCATCATCCTCCTCCTCACTCTCCTCCTGCTCAACATGATTCAACCGTCTACCTCTCCCAACAAGAGACCACCTGTTCTCCGCTGTCTTCCTCCACCCCCGAGCTCTTGACCTCAGTCTCCCCCTCTTCTCCATATGCTTGTGCTCCCCAGCTCTGATCCTCGTCAGATTCCGCCAGCACAGCAGCGAGGTGAGGATCCGGGATCTTCAGCTCTGCTCCTTCCTCCTCCTCCTCCATCGCCTTGGCAAGTCTCTCCTGCAGCTCCGCCTTCACCCCGCTAGTCTTGAGGCCCCTGCTCTTGAGCTCGTTCTTGAGTTTTGTCACCGTCATGGAGCTGAGGTCCATCGTCCCCCCGCTGCTCATCCCCGCCGTCTCCCCTCCTCCCTCCTGCCTCTCTCCATCCTCCTCACTTGAGCTCAAGGTGGAGCTCGCTCCTTCCCCGGCTATGCTGGAGATCCGTTCGATCAGCTCTGCCTTCTTCATCCTACTGGTCGGCTGCTCCCCCAGCGTCACTAGCTTCTCCTTCAGCTGTGCCACCGTGAGCTTGTTGAGCTCCGTCATGTCAGAGCTCATGCACTTGAGGAGCACAGCTTGTGGCGGCCTCCTGCATGCCGTCGTCCGGAGTGGAAGAGATGTTCTCGCCCATGGCAGGTTGAAAGATTCGGAGAGTCCGAGGAAGCCCAGGACAAGCAAGAGGAAGGGAATGGTCGACATCCTCTGCCTAGAGGATTCGGACGAAGTAGAAGATGAGAGAGAAGCGGCGAGGTAGGCAGCCATTCGGTCTAGAGTGAACTAGCGGGGATGGAGCCAGCAGGGTACAGAGGGCAGACGAGGGAGCGAGAGTATGTGAGAGCTCTTGAGAGGACGGAGGGGAGGACTGAGGGGTGGTGGACAAGAAACGAGTAGAGAAGGGTGGTGGTTGGTGGGCCGAGGAAGGGTCGGGGGCTCAGGATCCTCTCGCTCACGCTTCGAGCATGGCGGCCGACGCCATGGGGGCTGCCTTGTCTACAGAGGGTGGGTAGGGGTGGTGGAGAACCCTGCAAATCGTAAGGGTACTATTAGATGGCCTCATATCGCCGGTGGGGGTGGTCAATCCAGTATGGGGTAGTTGAAGAGGGGGTGGGGTATCCCGTAATGTAACGGGCCATCCCTCCATTTTCCTTGAACTAAACTCTTCAAACTAAACTCAAATTTACCACCTACCCCCATTTCCTGTTTTATCAAATGTCACCCTGTGTGACTACCCCCTGCGGTGAAGTACCCCCATTTATCAATACAAATATACGGGTACTAGTTGTTTTGGATTGCCTCATCCCCTCCTGGGCCCATTTCTAAAGGCGTCTGTTCTATTTCCGGAGAAGGGCGACAATGCCGCGAGCGGAGGACGGGAGCAGTGCCGCTTATGGCGCGTTCAGCACGCAAGATATCGAGGTGAAGATGGCATAATCTGATTGATAATGTTGTAGAGATGCAGATTCTGAGGTTTGTGAGGTTGCTCTTGTGACATCTATTGTGTGAGAAGCAGTAGAAGTAATGTTGTTAAGATGTGCAACGAATGATAGATGCGCTGTGTGTAGTGGGAAGCAGACTTTGGTGTTGTTCTGTCCATGAATTGAATATAAGGTGATATTTGGTTTTTTTTTCGATCTATGTCTCTTGATTCTTCTGTAATTCTGGTTTCTCTGCTGATTCTCTGATGACTTGTCCATGTCTCGTCAAGTTGAATTTGGTGTTTGCATGATCTTCGTTTCTTTCTTCCCATCCTTTCTTTCCATCTTGACGCATGCACAATAGGCTTTTGGAGCTGTAGCTCCCAAGGCTCCCGCCGCAGACCGCAGATTTCGTGCTGTGTTGTCTGCAGCTTTCGTTGCCATGGCTCTTACCGCAGTCATCCTGGTCGCGACTTCGTCGTCCCGGGAAAACGTCGAGGCCGCACAGTGGACAGAGTTTGTAGACCCTGAGAGAGTTGCACTTGCCCAGGCCCTCATGCGAGGCAACAGCGCCTTGAGGTGGGTCCCTGACCTCTCTGATCGCCTGTGTCTCACTCATGCTGTGCAGAACTGCTATCACCACAAAGCTTCAAGAGGTTGCTCCTGCTGCTGCTGTTCCCCCAGTTGGCGGACCAGGTTCAGGAGCTCCTGTCACTGCCCCGGAGGCTCCTGCTGGAGGTGATGGGTCAGGCTCCGGACCAGCTGCTCCAGCTGTAAGAATTCAAATGCATTACATGCTCCATCTGACATTTCGGGTCAAACAGGGAGCTCAGCCCGTGCAGGAGCCAGGCTTCGTGATCGCCACCACTGATGACTCTGCTCCTCCTCCTGTACGTCAATGCTCTGCTTGATGCTTCTTGACGTAGGGCTGTAGGTTGCGGAAGGAACCACTTTCCACCACATCAAGAACTTTGCCGGCACTGAGCAGATGATGAACAACGGTGAGGTTGCCGCCCAGGGTGCTGGAGCAGACTTCCAGAATGGAGAGGTGAGGAACGACTTGTACAGTAAGCAGCGTGCTGACTAGGAGCATCAGGTTGTCGGGGCAGGCGTGCATGTGGCCAGCGGAATCGGCTCAGGAGATGGCGTTACCGTCGGATCCGGAGTGATCAATGGACAAGGAGTCACCGTCGGCTCTGGAGAAGGCATGGGCACCGGCATGTTCGCAGGATCCGGCGAGGGAACCGGTATGATGGTGGGCGTCGGATCCGGCGTTGGCTCTGGCCACATGATCACGGTAGGAGACGGATTTGTAGAAGGAAAGGGAATTCTGGAGAACTACGAGGGTCACGACATGTTCATCGTCTCTGGGTCTGGATCAGGGACTGGCATCAGTGTGACCGACGGGTATGGCTCGGGAACCATGCTCAACATTGGCAACGGCGAAGGATCAGGAACCAACGTGGTGGTGGGAGACGGCCACGTTTCTGGATCGGACATTGCTGGAGAGAATGGCGAGCTCTCAGGGGTCGACCTGACAGCGGGACACGGTGAGTCTCCTCTGCCTCGATCCGATGGAGACTGACCTCTGTCCTCTCTTGTCGCAGGTGAGGGATCGGGAAGTGACGTGTCGGTAGCCAACGGGACTGGAAGCGGCAGCTCTGTCTTCGTGGGCTCGGGATCCGGAGAAGGAACTGGATTCCTGGTTGGCGACTCTGCGTAGAAGGGGCAAGGAAGCTATCCCAACATCTCTATCTTAGTGTATCGGAGCCATGTCTGTATGCCTTTCACTGAAACTGTTTTTTGACTACCACGAGCCTCTGAGGCTCGCAGAGGGACTTCTAGTTTGTTATAATGAAATATGCTTATCCTTCATGCACTCATTGTGTACAACTGCTTCGAATTACACGTTCTTGGTCGTCAAATCTTTTGTGGCTGATGTGTTTCTCAGGGATAAATAGCTGATTAACTATTTACGCTAGATAAGATCTTCTCTCATCATCACTGCTTAAACATCCTCCCTTCGTGTTCATTTCACTGTCTTGTGTTGCAACCTTCTTCCTCCTTGCGTGTTGTTCTTCTTCAGCGTTCCAACTCTTTACGGACGAGGAACGATACACCAGTGTGAAGTGATGGGAACGAAAACACATCAGACCTCGTCACCTTACTTGTCTCGATTTTACTGAAGAACCCCCGAAAATTTTACACGCATTCAAGATATCGGCATCTTTAGAACATGCCGCCGCCACCCATGGCATCCATTCCGCCCATTCCTCCAGCTGCTGTATCGACGTGTCAGTCCGATAAGAATTCTCCGGTCACGAGAGCTCACCAGCTGGCTTGTCCTCAGGGATCTGGACGACCATTGCCTCTGTTGTTGTCATCATGGTAGCAACGGAGGAGGCATCCTGAAATCAACGGTGAGCCCCCCATCACAGGATAAGATCGATACGATCATCCATCGCGGGCAGAACAGCAGAAGGAGGAGGAGCAGAACGGGGAGGGATCAGATAAAAACTTGCAATGCCTCACCTGGAGGGCAATACGGACGACCTTCACAGGATCGATGATACCCGTAGCCACCATGTCCACCATCTTACCCTCATAAGCGTTGTACCCCATGTTGCCTCCAGCCTCGAGGACCTGGCAGCACTGCTCAGCACATCCGGACACCAACATTCTCCTTGTACCTGCTGGACGATAACGGATCCCTCCGCTCCAGCGTTCTGAGCGATCAAGAAGCATGGCTCCTGGCAGGCCTTCTTGACAATGCTGATGCCGACCTTCATGTCCTGGTTGACCTCCGGCTTGCTAGCGAGAGGCTCCAAAACCTTGGAAACAAGTCAGAGAGGATCGAAGAGGAGGCAGCAGGGAAGGAAGGAAAGCGAACGTGAAGCTCCATCTTACCTTGGCGGCCCTCAAGAGAGCAACTCCACCTCCTGGAACGATTCCTTCCTCAACGGCAGCACGAGTGGCGTTCAAAGCATCGACGAAGCGATCCTTGCGCTCGCCAACCTCGACCTCAGACGATCCTCCAACCTTGATCACAGCAACACCGCCGGCAAGCTTGGCAAGGCGCTCCTGAAGCTTCTCTTTCTCATAGTCGGACGTGCTGCCCTCGATGGCACCACGGATCTGCTCGCAGCGCTCATTGATAGCAGCCTTGGAACCAGCTCCATCCAAGAGCACGGTGTCGTCCTTGCCGACGGAGACCTTCTTGACGTTGCCGAGCATTCCAGGATCGACCTTGTCGAGCTTCAAGCCGAGCTCCTCGCTGATGAGCTGAGCTCCGGTCAAGATCGCCATGTCCTGCAAGTTGGCCTTGCGGTTGTCGCCGAAGCCAGGGGCCTTGACGCAGACAACCTTCAGCCCACCTCTGAGCTTGTTGACGATGAAGCCAGCAAGGGCCTCGCTCTCGACGTCCTCAGCAACGACAATGAGGGGCTTGCTCTGCTTGGCGCAGAAGTCGAGGATCCCAAAGACCTGCTGGAAAGAGGAGACCTTGCCCTCAACGAGGAGAACAGCAGCATCCTCAAACTCGCACTTCTGAGTCTTGGCATCGGTGATGAAGTAAGGGGAGATGTACCCACGATCGAACTTCATGCCCTCAACGCACTCGAGCTCGTCAGTCAAGGTCTTGCCATCCTGGATGGTGATGACACCGTCCTTGGTGACCTTCTCCATGGCATCAGCGAGGAGTTGTCCAACCTGCTTCTCTCCGTTGGCTGAGATGGTGGCAACCTGCGCGATGCGATCGAAGCCTTCCACCTTCTGTGCCATCTTGTTCAGCTCGTCCACCACGGCCTTGACGGCCATCTCGATGCCCCTGCGCACATCAGTGGGGTTCATGCCTGCAGCGACAGCCTTGCATCCCTCCCTGAAGATGCTCCTGGTGAGGATGGTGGCTGAGGTGGTGCCATCGCCCGCCTGGTCGTTGGTCTTGTTCGCAACGGATCGCACGAGCTGGGCGCCGAGGTTGATGGCCCTGTCCTTGAACTCGATCTCCTTAGCTACGCTCACACCATCCTTGGTGATTCTGGGGGCGCCATAGGACTGGTCGAGGATCACATTTCTTCCCTTGGGCCCGAGCGTGACCTTGACGGCCTCAGCCAGGCGGTCAACACCAACAAGGAGCTGTGCACGAGCATCCACTCCGAACTTGATCTCCTTCCCGGAAGCCATGGACCTGGCTCCGGAAGGAAGGGCATGAGGAAGGGCGGAGGAGGCGGAGGAGGGGCGTGGAAGCGCGCGAGACACCGCGCGAGAACGAAGGAAGGAGCGCATGGCGATCGAGGAGGATGCGCAAGAACGGTCTTAGAGCGAACAATGGGGGTCTAATAATATTGACGGGGGTAAGGGGTACTTGCCGTACCCCTGGTACGCTATAATAGAACACATTATCTGGGTTGGGGTAGTCTACCACCCTTTCATTTAGTACTAAATAGAATATGGAGGGGTAGTTTTCTAGCACATAAAGTGGGTAGTTGGCTGCATATTTTTGTGGAAAGAAGAGAGCTCTTTGCTTCCGTAAGCTGATTCTGCATGGTAGGGTACATGACAATTTGGTGGGGGTACCATGGGTTAGGGGTAGGGTCTAACATCATGGATGGGGGTGGACAGGTCACAGCAGACGTTCTGGAACACGTGAGGGGGGAGGAGGGTTCTATGATTATAGTGGGTAGGGGTAGTTACCACTACCCCCTTTAACAACGCAAACTTGGTAGCAAAGTACCCCACAGGACCCTACGGCGTTCTCTAACTTCCAAATCCGTCCGGGGCGTAAGGGGGTCGATGCAATGTTATTGCTCTCGGAAAGAATGTCTAGAGCAAGTGGTGGGGTACTTTGACGTAGAGCAAGTGGTGGGGTACTTTGACCACCGGTGTGTTTTGATATCCCAAGACGGGGTGTATCACTCTTGTGAAAGACCTAGGAATAGTACCCGTACTACCCTTGGTTGCATCCATTGAAGCAGGGGTGCAATAGGACGTCCGTCCTCCCTTATACCCACCCCGGCGAGCTGCGAAGGCCCGGTCGGAGACTCAGTGATACTGATAACTGATAGTACGGCCGGGCGGCGGCATGACGAAAGTTGATTGGAAAATGACTACTCCAAAAATTTGTTGATTGGAAACTTGATGATTGCCCGTGACGATGCCCGGCCGCAGTCCCGCCGCGGCCACCGCCCAGCCATGGTTGGGAGTGGGAGGCAGCCTGCCGCACTGCCCAGGGCCGGCACCCCGGCGGAGTCGGCGGCGCCGTGACTCGTGACCGTGGTACCGTACGGTAGTACCGCCCGGCGTAATGGCGCGGCCGCGTGCGCGTGAGCCCGCGGCGTGACCGTCACAGCCTGGCGGCCGGCAGTGCGGCGGCCGTCCGACCGGGGCGGCCCGGTCCGACTCAGTGCAGTGCGCCCGGCCGGCGCGCGCCGGCCCGGCCGGACCCATGGCCCGTCAGGGGCGGCGGCGTCCGACCGGACTTGCACTGCCACCGTGACGCGGCCGTAGTAGGCCGCTCGAACCGTCACGGCCGGGCGTACCCCGGCCCGGTCCGATCCGCCGGCGGCCGCCGCGGTGAGCGGCCAACTCACTGAGCAAGCCGGGGGGCCCGGTACACCGTGGCAAACTTTGACAAGAAGATATGACTGTGATTACTTTTTTTCTAGTACAAGCAAAAACCACACGTTAGCTCTACAAGTCTAGTTTCAAAACTTGGAAGTCAATTTGTTCTTGCAGAATTTCTCTATCCTGGAGATCGCAGATCGCTCGAACTCAGGAGGTCGATCCCAATCCAGCGTTAACTCACCAAACTCCTGCTGGTCCCCAAGTGTGATAGCAAGCTCGTTCAGTGTGAACTCAGGTCCGCCTGATGGTGCACAATGCTCGGACAGGCCCAAGAATCGCGGATTTTCCTCCTCGGAGGGTTGGAAAGACGGCCCTGAAGCTATCGAGAGCGCTGCCCCATCACCGTGCAGGGAGCTGATTGTGTCAGTCACAAAGTCACACAGCATTGCCTCCTCCAGTTCCAGTTTCTTGAATTCGTGAAAAAGATTGATGAAATTCGACTCATCTGCGTAGACCAGCGCTGAAACATCTTTGCATGCGATGCAAATGAATGGAAAGGCTGATGAGTCAGCAACAAAGCTTGTCCACGATGTTTGTTCATCATCCTGCTGCATCATACATATTGAGAATTTTTGTTGCCTTCGAGCTTGCATATATTCATAGAAATTTTGCAGTTCTTCTTCCGTATCGCTCGTGTAATGTGCCAGTACTCTTTCTAGATTCGTGTTAACCGATCCATGCAGCTTCTGCTTGAACAACTCATCACTATTTGCTGATGCATACACAATCCTGTTGAGTTCCGCAACATTGATGACCAGGAGACTTGAAGTTTGCAAGAGATAACGGTCGACGAGTTTACCGAAGGCTGGCGAGAGGGAGCTCTGAGGCGAACGAGTCTGTGCCGGTGCGGTCTCGATCTCCATGGTATGATTTTACGCAGTGGTTCGTTGACGTTGACGGGAGTTATTAGAATTCAGCAAATAGTCCTGAGGTCCCTTGCATACACGATTGCTTGGGAATGTATCGGGCAGGCCAGGTCCCCGCAGGGAATTATTGCTCGACCCTTACTAGAGGAGATTTGAGGAAATGATGCAGGAGACAAAGGGTGCCACCAAGTTGGCTAATGGAAGAGCGAGTGCAGTAGGGTCTCCTATCAATGGCTTGATAATGCGAAGAGGAGGAGGAGGCGGATTGTGCCGCGAGCGCGCAGAAGAGATAGCACCTCAGGGGCAAGGTTGCAAAGCGATATACTGTGATCCATATGGGTGGGTAGTAGTACCTACCATACTAAATTTGTTTCTACAAAGGTAAATAGAGGGGTACGACCGTATTGACTTTGCTCTTCTATTCCTGTGGGGTGGCACATAGGGTGGCACATGTGACTGGGGTAAATTAATGTTTCACTGCAGTCCGAGGTTGGGTTGCAGGTCTGTGAGGGGTACTTGCAATATTGGTGGTGGGGGTACTTCCACCACATTGATACAATTCATCTCTTATGAATGCATATTATAAAAACACAGAGCATAACCTTGCTTGCCGTTGATGAGGGGGTGGGGGTTGAAGGTACTTGAAAATTAGTGGGTACTTGAATTTTTGAGGTGGGGTACGTGACAAAGAGACTATTTTACTATTTTAGTGATGACGTCCAAAAATTGAAAACTACTCTCTTCAAGATGCAAACCATTATCTCTCGGAGACCACCCCGAACGGAGTACCCACCCCGTGTGGCATCCACCCCCTACCCCTTGTGGACCATTTCAATACCTATGACCCCCTTTGACAGGACTTTTGGTACCGAGAATTTCATTTTCTTAACTGAACTACCTACCCACTGTATTCACAACACCCACCCTACCTCGAATATCTTCGATTTCCCGACAATTCCCTTCGATGCTTACAAAGAGTGATCGTTGCTGACGCACAGTAAAACGGCAATTTCACTATGGGCTAAGGTAGGTATTCTCTTAAGTGAGTAATTAGACAATCAGGGCAAAGGGTTCAAGCTGCCTCTGATGGGGAAGGGCCACTGTGACTGTAAGGGTAAGCACATGACCCACAGAATGGATACAACATTTATACTATTAGCTGGTCAGAGATGAAATAAATGAATTAGGTAATTGTATTGGGTGTTCTGTGATTTCTTTTTTCTTTTTTTTCCTTTTTTTTTACAGGGTGTCCATCTCCACATGGACTCCCGATTCTCTTTCCAGCGCAAACTAGGAGGTGGGGGTCACCATTGAGGAAGTGAAGCATGGATTTGGTGGGTACTTGAATGACAAAACCATGGGTAGTGACGACAGGTTCGCTACTAGTTCGTCGCATGGGTGGGGGGTCATCAAGGGTAGGGTACTTTCATGGCTTCGTAGGGGTGGGGGTGATGAATGTGGGGCGCTGGGGCTGTAGAATTTTGGCTCGGTTTGGTCACGAGCGGCACCATAAATCTGCAAATCTAAATTTTGCCTCTAAATATTGAAGTATTCACTGATTCTTTACAATATTCTGCAGGGCACGCGAAATACTTTGGGATGGGGAGGGTGGCCGGAAATCGTACGGGTGGGGCACAAACCCGGCCACCGAAGAAAGCATGCTGTAAGGATGCGGGCGTAGTTTGCCTTCATTCGCTCTCCTCCTTTCCCTTCCACTTCCCCCCCTCCCCCTCCCCCCCAGCCACCTCCCCATCCTCTCTGCTACTCGCTCCTCCCCTCCTCTATCTTTCTCTCATCCCCCTTCTCGGCAGTATAGATCAGAGCCTCTTCGTATCTTGGCAAGAAGTACCTGCCCTGTTCTGGCCCCCAGTTCATCACAAGACTTCTCCCAGTGAGAACCTTGCTGATCAGTTCAGTGACACTCGTAATCGAAGAGAGCCACTTGGTTCTTCCTGAAAACAGGTGAAACCCTCGGAAAAAGGATCTACCCCCTGCTAGTTGGTGTACCCTGTATCAAAACAGTAGGGGGTAGATTTTATCATGAAGCTTCCTTCTCCTCAATCTGGTCGAACATTGGAGGAGGAACTCAGTATTCTCCTGCAGTTTCAGGAGAAACATGACAACGGAGATTCAGGAGAGATCAACGGCGAAGAGTTGAAGAAGCGTGTGAGGGTGATCAAGAATCGGATCGCTGCCAAGAAGTCAAGGGAGCAAGCGCGGACTTACGTACAGAAGCTTGAGAGCAGCTTGAATGCTGTCATGGCTCATAACGATGTCCTTGCGCGGCGCCTTGCCTTGGTTGAGTCCGAGAATCGATCGCTCAAGCATTCAATGTTCATGACTGGCATGAACTTTCAACCCATGAACAACTGTAACCGCGTCGACGAGTCTGCGGCACTCTCGACCTTATCCCTGCTGTTGGATGCGGTTCTGTTCATGATCGCCATGGCCTCCAGTTTCCTTCCTGGTTTCAGTCTGAGAGCATGGGAGGACAACTCTCCGGTGCACCAGCTCCCGGCTACCCTCAAGCAGGAGACGTGCTCGCTAACATGGACGCGTTCAACATGCCATGGGCGAGGAGCGCGTCGATGTTTGAGATGGCTCAGGATGGCAGGCCTCTTGCAATGCGTTGCGCACTCGTGCCATCGTTGGGACCCCAAGGTGCCTCAGCCAGCGACAGCAGCATGAGTCCGAGCCCTGTGCAAGGAGCTGGTGCTGGGGCAACGACTGCTCCTCCTTCCTCTCAATGGCAGAGAGGAGCATACACTAGTGGCGACGAAGGCTCGGAAGCATCAGAACAAGAACTGGACGTGCCCTCCCGGTCCGTGGAGAGTGTTGAGTCCGGAGCTGCTGCTTCTTCAGTGGAGGCCTGCGATGTTGACTCTTTCCCTTTGCTGTGCCCGAAGGAGGAGACGAATGAGGTGATTGAAGCTGCCGAGGATGATTTGTTAGACCTTCTCTCCTGCGACAGCTCTTGCTCCCCGGAAGACGGCTTGGACTTGTTCTAGGACTTGAAGTCTGTTTGAAGAAGAGAATAAATTCAGAAAATACAAATTTGCCCCTGCCTCCCTACTCGTCATCCTGGATCCTCGTACTGTTGCTGTAGCTCCCCTTTGTTGTCTCTTCTGCCTCTCCTCATCCCCCGCCCTCCCTCCCTCCCTCCCCGCATTGCACCCCGTCTTCACACATTCCGCCTCTTCCATTATTGCGCCCCGTTTCCCCCTCACTGACCCAGCCCCTCCTGCAACAAACTTTCCTGCCCTGTTGCACGCACCGCTACCATGGCTGCTGCCGCCTACCTCCCCTCCCTCGAGAGGGCCCAAACCCTCGCTCGAGCCTCAGCCACCGCCCTCAGCAGGTCTTGCAGCGCAGAGACTAGACGGAAGCGCGGCGAGGCATGCAGAGTCGAAGTTTCAATGGCTGGTTGCGATTTCGCAACGAGGAAAGGAGGTAGGAAGTGGAGGGAGGCAGCGGCGTTGCCAGGAGGGAGGCGATGGTTCTCGGGAGGAAGAACATCCAGCCAGATACGCGTGCTGGATCCTTCGTGCATGAGCGGGGACGGGATGCGGATGAAACTTTGGGAGACCTTGCAGGAGGATGGAGTTTGCGTGGTGAAAGACGTTCTCTCCTCCTCTTGGATTGAGGACCGCCTTCGCTCAGCCGAGGAAAAGTTTGACGCCTGTATACTCGAGCTCTTTAACCCCTGGCTCCTCCGCTCCCTCCTCCGCTCCCTCCTCCGCTCCCTCCTCCGCTCCCTCCTCCGCTCCCTCCTCCGCTCCCTCCTCCGCTCCCTCCTCCGCTCCCTCCTCCGCTCCCTCCTCCGCTCTCTAGTTCTTCATCAGCTCTCCTCACCCCCCTGACCTGCATTCCTCCCCTCATCACTGACTAGCACATGCGCAGGCATCTCGCTTGCTACCGGGCAGCAGGGGAACTTCGAGGTGGGGATCCAGCATGGCTTCGCAGAGGCGGTACATCGGGCACGGGGGAGGTACGACATCCTCCTGGGGGTCAACGGGGCGAGAGAGTTTCTCGAGGCAGAGAGCAAGTTCTCTCCACTTGTGCAGCATGTCTTCGACAGCGAGCACAAGCTCCTGTTCAACGGCATGCTCTACTCGCTCCCCGGGTGCTCGGAGCAGGCCTGGCATGCCGACGGGGAGCACCTCTTTGCGAGCAAGGACCACCCCCTCCTCCCCCTCCACTGCCTCAACGTCTTCGTCCCCCTCGTCGACATCGTCTCCCGCGGCGTGCGAGCCAACGGAGGGACTGAGTTCTGCCTCGGATCGCATCGACTCACCTGTGGGCAGGAAGATATTATCTGGCAATCTCCCCAGCATAAGGACACGATCGGTCACCTGGAGCCACCTGCTCCTCTCGACTGCTCCGCTGGCTCCATCGTGCTCTTCGACTACCGCGTCCTCCACCGGGGGCTGGCGAACTTGAGCGAGCATGCACGTCCAATCCTCTACTTCACCTACGCGAGGTCTTGGTTCCAGGACGTGAACAACTTTCCTGCTCGGAGTCTGCTGGATGATAAGAACGAGAAGAAGAGAGCATTCGTATCTGTCAGTGCCCGGGCAGGAGCAGGAGCAGGAGCAGGAGCAGGAGCAGGAGCAGGAGCAGGAGCAGGAGCAGGAGCAGGAGCAGGAGCAGGAGCGATGAAGAAGGATATCGGTGGTGTTCCCTACGACCAGAATCTCTTCAAGAGCATTCGAAGTGAGTTCCCAGCTCTGCGAGGTCTTGAGGAGCGAGGCATCGTCCTCTGCGATGGAGCTGCTGGATCTCAGGTTGACGAGAGCTTCCACTCCACCACCACCACCACCTCGTCTACCACCACCACCTCCTCCTCCTCCTCCCCTTCCTCCTCCTCCTCCTCCTCCTCCTCCTCCTCCTCCTCCTCCTCCTCCTCCTCCTCTGTCTTCTTCTCCTCTCGCTCCCCTCCTCCTTCACCACCACCACCTCCTCCTCCACCACCACCACCACCACCTCTTTCTCCCCCTTATGATCGTAGTACTGCTCTTGCACTTCCACTGCTGACCCCTCATTCCTTCTCCTTTTTCTCCTCACCCCCGTCCATAACGTCCTTCGACAGATGCACCAGAGTGCTATCCAGGCCATGGTCGAGAGTGCGAGCAGGCGGAACTCCAACGTGGGAGGATCCTTCTCCTTCTCCTCCGACAACCTTGACGCCTTCACGCACGCCCGGCGGACCATGGGTGCCTTCCTCAACTGCAAGGAGGAGGAGGTGGTGTTCGGCAGCAGCGCGACGGCGTTGAACTTCCACATGTCTCGGTCCATCGGCAGGACCCTCGGCAGGGGCGACAACGTCGTGGTCACGTGCCTCGATCATGCTGCCAACGTTGGGCCCTGGGAGACGATGGCGGCGGAGGCAGGAGCTGAGCTCCGACGTATCAAGGTCCTCCTCTCCTCTCCTCTCCACTCCTCTCCTCTTCCTTTCCCTCTCCTCCCCTTTTCTCTTCTCCCAGTCTTCATCGTTCTCTCTTTCTCCTTCATAATCCTCTATTCTACTGTCCATCCTTCCCTCTCTGCTGACTTCCCTCATTCACAGGTACGCCACCAAGACTGCGCCTTGGACATGGACAGCGTTCGCTCTTGCATCGACTCACGCACCCGCCTGGTCGCCTGCTCCGCCGCCTCCAACCTCGTCGGCGTCATCCCGCAGGTGCAGGAGGTTGTCAGCATGGCAAGGGCGCATGGAGCCCTCTCCTACGTTGACGCTGTCCATCTTGCTCCCCATGCTCTCATCGACGTCCGCCAGCTCGGATGTGACTTCCTCGTCTGCTCCCCCTACAAGTTCTTCGGCCCCCACCTCGCCCTCCTCTTCCTCCGTGAGGGCCTCGCCCGCTCCCTCCCAGCCTACAAGATCCGCCCGGCCACCGATGACCTCCCGTCCTTCTCTAACTGCCAGGGCAGCCGGTGGGAGATGGGAACTCAGAACTACGAGGGGATCGCAGGAGCAGCAGCTGCCGTCTCCTACATCGCCAGCCTGTCGGGGAGGCAGAGGGAGGAGAAGGAGCGATCGAGGGGTACCCAGGAGCCTCCCTCGGAGGGGTTGAGCCTCCTGCGAGCGAGCCTGAGGGACTCATACAGTCTCATCAGCCAGCACGAGTCGTTGCTATCCGACAGGTTTCTCTCTGGGGTCCGGAGCATCCCGGCCGTCAAAGTCCACGGACCCACAGCCGTCACCTCGCACAGCAGCTCCATGGTGATCGCTTCAACCATCCCCTCCCCTTCCCCTCAGCCCTCCTATCCTCGTCCATCTGCTGCTGCTGCTGCTGCTGCTGCTGCTGCTGCTGCTGCTGCTGCTGCTGCTGCTGCTGCTGCTGCTGCTGCTGCTGCTGCTGCTGCTGCTGCTGCTGCTGCTGCTGCTGCTGCTGCTGCTGCTGCTGCTGCTGCTGCTGCTGCTGCTGCTGCTGCTGCTGCTGCTGCTGCTGCTGCTGCTGCTGCTGCTGCTGCTGCTGCTGCTGCTGCTACTGCTGCTGCTCTCCGTCCTCCTCATCTTCTGCCTCTTTCTCCTGCTCCTCCTCCTCCTCAGTGTACAACTTGCCCCGTTGCCTCTTCCTGCTCCCTCCTCACCTTCTTTGTCTGCCTCCACCTCTATCTGATCCCCACCAGGACCAGCATGGCCGCACCCCGACCTTCGCCATCAGCATGACGGGAGCAGACGGTCAGCCCATCCCCCCCCACGTCCTCTGCGAGTCTCTTGTACGTGCTTACAGTGCTGCGTGTGATCGAGCTGGTTGGTGAGGACGCGGCAGGTGGAAGACGGCATCTGGTGCTCCAGTGGGAACTTCTACGCGCTGGACCTGACGGAGACGCTGGGGTTGGAGGTGAGCCGAGGAAGGAGACAAAGGAAGGAGAGCAGACTAGAGCATGGGAGGGGCAGGCTAGGCGAGCGAGGAGAGGAGGCGGGAGGGAAGGAAGAGACAGGAATTTTGAGATGGAGAATGCGCGAGGGAGGCGCTAGGGGTTCTTACAAGGGTCCTGCAGGAGGGAGGGGGGGTAGTGCGTGTGAGCTTCCTGCACTACAACGTGCTGGAGGACGTGGATCGAGTTCTGAGGAGCCTGGACAAGATCTCCAAGAGGAGGAGTGCGAAGGCTCGCACGCAGTAGCTTCCACGTATCCTCTTTACTCAGAGAAACATGCAGACTCGAGCTCGAAGACTCCCTTCCCCACATGGCCTTTCACTTCAACTCCCTCCTCCCCCCCTTCCTCCCTCCTCCCCCACCCCCCCCCTCCTCGGGCTCAGAGGGGCGTCTCGAAGTTAAGCGCGCTCTTGTCCTGGTCGCTCTCCCAGTCTGACTCCGACTCGCTGTCCGACGAGCTCTCCTTCCCCTTGTGCTCCACCCCGTGCGCGCTGCTGACCGCCTGCTGGGCGGCGCTCTTGAGGGCAGCAGCCTTGGACGTCGGCTTCTTCTGCTTGGGGTTGAAACACTCGTTGACGTACCGCTCGAGCTCCCGCAAAGTCGCGTTGTCAAGCATGTCCATATCGATCTCGATCTCCTCGCTGTTCCCGACGATGTTTGACATCCTCTTCTTGATAATCTCCACCACCTTCCCCAGCTTGTCTGGCTCCAGCTTGTTGATATTGAGCCTCAGAGTCCTCTTCTCCTCGAACGTCATGGCCTTGTTGCTCGGCGTCGCCCCAGTCGGCCTCTTCCTCCCCGTGCTCGCCGACTGCTTCTGCGACTTCTGCTTCACCTCCGCCAGGTCTCTCTGCAGGATCTCCACTTCCCGCATCATCTCCATCAGCGTCCTCGATTCTGCTGACCTGCCGGCCGGCAGATCCACCCCTGCTGCCTCCTTCTGTGTGCCTGGCACCTTGGGGAGCTTCTTGATCCTCTTTTCGGTACTGTCCTTCAGTGCCTTGGCACATTCGTGGACGTCCGTGCCAGCAGGGTTGAAGTACATGGCCTGTCTACATGTCAGCAGCTGCAGGATGGAAGAGGACGATGACGAGGAGTTGGGACGGAAGGGAAGGTAAAGATAGTGAGGAGGAGGATGAGAAGGAGGAAGAAGAAACGAGGAGGCAGGGGGACGAAAGGGAGGAGGAGGAGGAGGGGGAGGAAAGAATTAAGAGAGGAACGCAGAGAGGAGGATAACGACGAGCAGCTGGAGCAGCAGCAGGGAAGCAAGAGTCCTCACGTTGTCCCACACGAGGTTGATATCTGCCGCCAACGCTTCCACATGATCGTAGCACTCGCTCTCCAGCTTCTCCTTCACCGTCCCCAAGTCCATGGGCTTCTTAATGATCTCCATGTACTGGGGGATACCAAGGGCGATGGGATCGACGGGGATGTTGAAGTAGGCAACGCAGGCCTTCTCCTTCATGAGCGTCTCCAGCAGCTTCTCGCAGTGCAGGTACAAGTTCTTCATCTTCCCCTTGGGAGCCAGCCGGTCCGTCTTTTTGGACTTGCGCCGCTTGCTCGACTCAGGCTTGCTCGCTGTTAACGTACTCGGCTCCTTCCTCTTCCTATCCTGCCTGCTGCTGTCGAAGCTCCCGCCCGATGACGCGTGCGAGAAGGCATCGGCCACATCCCTCTGCCTGTTGATGGGAGTGCTGTAGAAGGGAGAGCCTGGAGCTCTCGCCCACCCTGCTGGGCTCGCAGCTGGGAGAAACTTGGGGGCTGCAACTACATTGCAAACTCCTCCGTTGATCTTTTTCAGTTGTGCGTTGATCCTTCTAAGACGATCCTGCAGATGAGGAGTGAGATGAAGAGCGCAAGGAGGAGTGAGGGAGAGGGAGAGAAGGAGAAGATCAACAGGAGCGAGAGGTGAAGAGAGGCAAGCACCTGCAACTGTTTCTTTCTTTCCGTCCAGGGGTTGTTGCTGACAGGAGGCTCTGCTTGCAGCAAAGGCCTTTGCGCTGAGACAGCCTTGGGCTTGTGCATCTGCCGGGCTGGAGTCGTTGGCTCGTTAGGCGGACTGTGGCCTGCAGTAGGCATGTGAGGTAACGCAAGGGACAAGGGAAGAACGGGAGGGAGAGGGAGGGAGGCGGGGAGAAAGGAACGGAGGAGATGCATAGAAGAGACCAGGAGAGATTGAGATTAAGGAATATGCTGGTCTCACCGAAGTGATTGCTCTTCTTTCTCTCCCTCTTTGCAGGCAGCAGCTCAGGAGGTTTTGACGGATTCTGCAACACAGGCTCCAGGTTGTATCCTTTCTGCAGTTTCGTACGCTTTGCCTCCTCCACTGTCAGGATGACTTCACCCTTTGCGGGGGTCAAGACCTGTTGGGCAGCCGCTTCACTGGACCTGAACATACAATGGCAACTTACAACCTGCTGCCCAGAGTTTTGATCTTGCATTGTCGACTGGGGCACTGAAGGAGAGGACGGCAGTCGCAGTCAACTTGGCTCCGTCCGATTTCCTCCTGCCTGATGAGAGACCTTGCAGTACTTGACAGCAAAGTAAGATCTCCCCTTCAAACACAGGAAACAGAGATGAAGCCGGAAACTGCCCGAGCGGAGGAATACTGTGAGCAAGAGTAGAGCTACAGCTGAAGGGAGAGATAAAGCTGGGAGGCCTCCTTGAAACTCTAAATCGGATGGAAGGACCAAGAAATCAAGCCTCAGGAACTAAGACCTCTGCTTTGAACCCTGGTTGATGATGGAATTCTAATCCCTCTATGAAAACCAGGCTCTTGCTCGCTGTTGACCAAAGCTTCCAATCTCGGGGCTACCGCTACGCACACTTCCTCTAAACGAGAATGAGCATAGATGATTGCAGCCTCTTCCTGTTCTGACTCCACAGACTGTCAAGCAGACAGATGTATCAAACTGACAACAAAAAGCAGGTAATTGTAATCTAGATGTCCACGTCAGCAATTTGAAGTGACAAATGCAAGCCTCACCAAGATTGCTGTGATGATCACAATCAGTGAACGCGTCGATACATCAGACCGCCGAATTCAGAGAATGTTCTCCCTGTCTCTATCTCTCTCTTTCTCTTCCTCTCTTGTAGTCGCGAGATTAAACGAGAAGATGGAGATCAGATGCTGACAGGAGTGTTGTCAGCGACGAGGTCAAGGTCGATTGTTGATCTGCAGCAAGGTCTGAGTCAGATATCACTAGTCTACTTCTTTGATGAATTTTCTGTTCAAAAATCGACATATCTATGAACATACATCAAACATCACTTCTCGTCATTTGAGTGCAGCTGAAAGAGCAGAAGCAAAAGCACGGTTTGAACAGCTCATCAAACTTGTCTCGTCTGAGGGTTTGTACAAGCTGAGAAATGATGGCTTCTCATTCTACCTTCTCATTCTACCTTTCTGGGAGAAAATCAGGCACTGTTTTCGTGTCCTTGCTAACTGTCTTGCTATTTCATACAGCTAAGTCGAACTTCCACCCTGTGCACCACCGCCATCACGCATACCCGGTGACACACTTCCTGCCGTTCAAATGATATATACAGTCATCGCGCGACCAAGTGTAGGCTCATCAAGACAACACACAGATTATTGAAAAGGAACGATGACACATCAAACAAGAAAGTCAAAGATGGCCATGTTTGAAGCCGTATCAACCGCATTCGGTCGTGCACGATCAACGGTTGCGTGCGACCTAAAGCACCCTTCTTTGGTTCGGTCACACCTGCTGCTCAAACATTGTTCAGGCACACCTGACTCCCTTCCTATCGATAGTTATGAACTACAATGTCTCTTCCTCGCCACGACGGCCGAAATACTCAACATGGTCCCCCTCAACGCCCTCGCAAGCCTGTCCTGCCTTTGAATTGAACTTACTGGCCCTTCCCTTCCCGTTCAAACTGCCTCTCCTTCCAGTTCTTCAGGTCCTGAACGACCCCTTAGACTCAAGTGAATGAATTCATCTCCTCCGTCGTCCTGTTCTTCGCCTCCTGCCGCTCCTCCTCTTGCCTCCCCGCCTTGGTCCCCTCCCACCATTGCTGCGCGCCCTCCTCTGAGACCGTTACATCCTTTTAACGCGTGATTTCATTACTCAATTGATGGTTCAGAGTGGGGTGGGGTACTTATGGAGGGGTAGTAGTGACAGAGGGATACCAAGCATCCTCATAAGTGGGTACTTTACAAGGGGTAATATTGGGGTACAAAGAGGGAAGTAATGGGGTCCACGAGCAAGGGGCACACTAGGGGGTAGTCTGAGATGTTTGGGGTTCTGCTGAGATCAGTGATGGTGGGGTAGGCCCACTGTAGTAAACTTCTGGTGCCCGGGCCCGCATCATCCGAGGCTCAGTCTGCTGTCGGGTTGCCCTCGGATCAACCGGGTTGGCCGGGCCGCGCCCGCCGGCTGGCCGGGCCCCAGTGGGGCCGGCCCCGGCAGCCGGCGGTGCCCACTGGCCATCCGCCGTCGGAGGCTCACTGAGTCACCCCGGTCACGTCGCGGCCGGGGGCCGGCCCCCCCGGGCCCCGGGGCGCGGTTGAAGCCTACCGGGGGGGCCGGTCAGTCAGGGCCGCGCTGAAAGCACTGCACCCGGTGCCGCGCCGCTGTGCCGTCGGGCCCGGCCCGGACGGCCGACCGTACGGCCCGGTGCCGCCGCGCCCGGCCCGTTCCGACGATCGGGACCCGGCGACAGTCCGCCGGGCCGCGGGCCGGCCGCATCACTGATCACTGCGGCCCTGGCATTGGCATGTGAGTCAGTTCTTACCGTACCGTGACTGGCGAGTCCGAGCTCTCAACGTGACCCGGGCGGCGGGCAACTTGCCCTCCGTGACTGGGCCAACGGTTTTAGCATAGGGAAGCAAGTACCCCACCTCTCTATATCTCCTGAAACACACCGGTCATACTATGACTGGAGCGTCGCAACACTGACAGGAGGGGTGGTTGTCTAGACCATTGAGACCTCGAGTAGGGGTGGGGTGATCATGAACTGAAACTTTTGAAACGAACTTCTCGTGCCGGAAGGAGTGAAGAGGTGAGGTAAAGTACCCGGTAGTTTCATAGGATGTGGGGTAGGGTAGTGAGAAAACTGTGTCTTTGGGGGGTGGGGAAACCAAGGGAGGGATTCAAACCATGGGGTGGGGTACTTCAATTTCTGGAGGTTCTAGCGAAGGGGAGGTCCGTCAACAGGCACTCAAACAATTAGATTAATTGGAGAATGGAGGGGTGGGTGATTATAACAAACTGTCCATACAGGGGTAGGTACCCCCACCCCCAATTGTATCAGCGAAACTCCTCCCATCCTCCCAACAAATTCAAATACTTTGCTCCTACCACCCCAAACTTATCGATCTAGATACGTACTTTGTATGGGGTGGAAGGGTGGGTGGGTAATAAGCTATTTTGTAAGGGGGGGTGTTATTGATGCAACGAGAGGCGGTGGGTAGTCAGAATTTGCCAATTTGTCTCAGGGGTGGTACCCCCTACCATTCCCCTTTCACTCCAACTCCGAGTGATATGAATCACCCCCATAAATATATGCAAAAGTACCCCACCTTTCTAGGACACATAGTACCCCAAGGCATCCTGGACCCAGGTTCTTGAATTCATTACTTTGCCAGGGAGTAAAGAGGTGGGGTACATGACGGGGAGAAGAAGCAAGGAACGAAAGGGATGATAGTTCTATAACGCAGCAGAGAAACGAATCCGATCTACCTGGTACTAGAGTGGGAGGCCAAATTCTCCAAGTATGGTACGACACAAGCAAAATAGGTTACAAATAAAGTAGCAGAGATAACATTAAGACAACGTTTTGATTATATAATACACAATTATAAGAGAGACCTTGCCCGTGTAGGAGAAAATTGAAGTACCGGTAGTAAATACACAATAATGCTTGAAATAAGGGGGGGTACCGTCAGTAAAGGATTTGATTCTTTTTTCTCGTTCCTTGAGTATGTTCACGAGATACCGATCCTTGCCTAATGGGGTCACAACGAAACATCAGGGGTGGGTGTGATACGGAAGTTGATGATGATAGGGTAGGTAGTATCAAAAGCAGTTGGTTCCAGACTAAAAGGTGGGTATATGACACATAAATTGGGGGTAGGGGTATAGCACTTGGAGCAAAAATACGGGATTCGTGGGTGTAGGGGTAGTATAGAATGGACGGAGCAAAAGGGTAGGGTATCTATAGAAAACGGGTAGGGTGGATTTTCCCAGGGACGCCAGTGGCATGCACATACCAGAGCGAAAAGAACAAGAGAAGAGAAGAGAAGAGACGAGAAGCTGCGAAGAGAAAGAGGAAGGGACGAGAGACGAAAAAAACAAGTGATTGATCCTCCTGCTCAGAAAGCCAAGGCAACTGAGAACTTTGGTAGTTCGAGAGCAAAGCGGTTTACCCAGCAAGACTGGATTGAAGTGCATCGGTTGTGGTACCTATCGCACTTGTTCCTTTGGAGACTCCTCGACGGTTGAACTTGAGAAACTGGTTGAAACAATTACAGGAGATATTCACATCAATCGGGATACAATTCTTTTGATTTGTCACAAATACTTTCAAAACTTATCGCAATCCGCCTACTGCAACTTCAACATGTCTAGTTTGGGAGTGCATTCGGGAATGTCTAAAACAACGAAACAACCCAGCAACAGGAGCGTGTCAAAGATCCTCGGGCGCTCGTTGAGGAGAAGGATCCAAAGAACCAAGAGACAGCTCATTCCGAGAGCAAGCAGGAGAATGTCTCCAACGTTGGACATTTTTGACTATACTGGTAAGATCGCATGCTATGTGTAATGTGAACACAATTTGTCTTATCCTCTACGGCAGATTCCACATACGTCCAGCAAGACACCTACCAGTACCCGAGGTCCTTCCAGTCAGACTTCTTCGACAGCGAGGGGAGGGTGGTTGCTGGCATCGACTACGACGTGAAGGTGATGGAGCCAATGGTGTATCGTCCCATCACAGCGAGAGAAGTTCTCATGGGATCAGAAGTGCGCCAACACGGATGGAACGGAAGGATGAGCACAGAGGTTGCCAGCAATTTTCCAACTCGGCGGGACGCTTCCTCGTCGGTGGCTGCCCAACATGACGCGTCAATCGACGCTGGGAGTGACATGAACAGTTATGATGCCGAGACTATGTCTCCTTCGGAAGAGCCTTACGTCGAGACGAAGCAGGAGATGCCTGAGGAGCAGCCAAGAACATGGCAGGAACCCGACAGGGCCTCGTTCAAGACCGAGACTGAGCGGACTCCCTCGTCGCTGGGAGAAGAAGGTTCCGTGGGGACTTCGTTCCCGTCCACTCCCTCCGACGAGAGCATCGTCCCTCCCAGCATCTACTCAGAGACCACGTGCGATGACTTCTCCATGGAGGAGTGCGACCTGCAAGCCCTGATAGGAGGAGGAGATGACTTCCACTCCACCGAGGACTACGAGCTCATGAACCTCGGAGAGGCCGGAGAAGGTCAGGACGTTCATCCATGGGGCTGGCTGCAGCCTGACCTCTCCATTCAAACTTAATCCCTTGTTGTGTTTCAAGTGTATTCTTTCAGTTTTTGAACGTTTATCCCTTATCCGTCTATGCCCGTAAGTCAAAGCTCGTCCTGATAGGATCCTCACCCACAAACCACATCCCTCCTGCCGTGGACATCCCCCTCCCCGGGCCGCCATTGGTAGCTGCCTCCCTCCTGTACGTACACCAGCAGCGGCGTCACGGTCTGCATGGCCATGAATATCATCACAAATAAAGACAAACATTCATTTAATCACACTCGTCAATAATACTTGATCCCTAGGATTCACCCAAAAACCACATCCCTCCTGCCTTGGACTTCCCGCTCCCCGGGCCGTCAGCGGTAGCTGCCTCCCTCCTGTACGTACACCAGCAGCGGCATCACGGTCTGCATGGCGAGCGACAGGTCGCCGAGTCTCTTCGCCCCGAAGATCTGCACACTCTGCCGCTGAATGCGCACAGTCACCTGCTCGCACGCGTCAGTCGCCCGCTCCCTCCCCTCCCGCCTCCGTCACCTTGAGCCACTCGAGCTTGACCTTGATGCCCGTTGCCAGCTCGGGCTCGTAGGTAGCCGGGTGCTTGCGGGCGAGGCTGAGGTAGGACCTCTCTCTGTCGATGAAGCCCCTCGTCTCGAAGCCCCCGATCGTGTTGACGAGCCTGAACTTGTCGAAGCCTCGCACCTCCTCGATGATCCTCGCGATCCTCCTCACCACCCTCCTCATCAGGGTCAAGGCCGCCGACTCGGACTTGGCTCCTGCCAGCCGGATGCTTCCGGTGTCGAAGACGGTGGCGGAGGCAGAGCAGTCCTTGAACCAGAAAGTGACGGCGAAGCAGTTCTTGAGGTCTCCCCTGTACTGAACGTTCTTCAGCTTGCGAGCCAGCAGCCGCGTGTCGAGGCGGAGAGGGCCCTTGATCCTGGCGAGCGCGACTACGTTGTGACTGGGAGCGGTACGAGGTCAGCGAGCAGGAGGGACGGACGATCTTGGACGACTCACATGCGGATGTGGGGCGAGAAGCTCGCTTCCTCCGACTCGATCTTGACCACGCTGAGACACACCATCACGAGTGTGGCTAGACGCACACGCAAGCTCACCTGGAGAGTCCGGATGCCATGCTGATCGCGATAGAGAGGAGAGTAGACGAGTAGAAGATTAGTGTAGACGAGTAGACGAGTAGACGAGTTGAAGATTAGTGTAGACGAGTAGACGCGTAGACGAGTTGAAAATTAGTGTAGACGAGTGGACGCGTAGAAGAATAGAGGAGTAGATGAGTAGGAGATAAGTGTAGATGAGCAGACGAGTGAATAGATATTCAGTAGGCTTGTGCTGCTTCTTGAGAGCTGCTACACGTCTCCGTCAGCCATGTCCACCACTCCTCCATCCCTCCATCCTCCCCGTACCTGAAGCCGATGCTAGAGACAGAGATGGAGATACCTGTGCGGCTGCCTTGATGCATCTCAGGGTATGAAAACAGATCCTTGCTGAGCTCATCGCATCGAGCAGCAGCAACAGCAGAACAGGCTACGAGAAAAGCAGAGAACGATCTTCTCTTTTCCTCAACGACCAAAAAGCTTTGGGACAAGCACAAACGACCCAGACAGGCCTGCTCTCTATCCCTCGACGCTGTGGACTTTCAAGGGCTCATTGGACATAAAGGATCGGAGCAACAGGTCACGTCAAGTCATCTCAACGGCCTCGCATTTTCTCAGTCGATCTCTCGCGGTCTAGACCTACGAGAGACGATCGCTCCTGCCCTCACTTCATCGTGTTGATCATCCTTTGCTGCCCGTCCTTCTGCTTCTCACAGGCTGCCTGCAGGCTACCAACCTCCATCCCTACTCGTCACACTACTGCATGAGTGCAGGGAGGAGGAGGTTTGCAGCACAGGTGATGTGAGATCCGATAAGCACAGCTGTCTGTGAGAGACACAAGAGGTCTGTCTTCCTTCTGCCAGCTTTCTGCTGCATCTCCATGCTGATGTTATGTCTCTGCGCTACTTCTCGCTCTGCTCTGAATCTTAGAGCGTCGTCGACGTGTCTGCGGAGGAAGAGGGCGAGCGTCACTCGATGGCTCACGCCAGGCACGTGAGGGCTGACCTGGAAAAGATATGGGGAGAATAGGCTTGTGGAAGGACGCCAGGTTGCTAGAGGAGTGCTGGGAACCTGCGACGTAAACGAATGGTGCAAGGAGGGACATACCTGGAGCTTACGCACCATAGCAGTGGAGGGCTGGGCGGCTTGAATGCCTAACTTTGACCACGCGAGTTAAAAACAGCTGATGCTCAGGCAAATGACAGGGAAGCAAGATTGTGAAATGTAAAATCCTCTGCTTTCTCTAAAGGCCTCGTCCAATATCCCAACTTTCGTTGCTCCATCACTGTTTTTGCTATTGTATCGTATCAAAACGATTTGCTCTGGCCTGAGTCAGAGTCTTGTCTTAGCATCTTCTCTCTTCTCCTTTCCTCCCCCATCTTCCTTCCTTCCTTTCTTCCCCTCCCTCCTCCTTCTCTCTTCCTCCTTCTCTCTTCCCTCTCCTTCTCTCTTCCTCCTTCTCTCTTCCTCCTTCTCTCTTCCCTCTGCTGCTCTCTTCCTCCCATGCTCTCTTCCTCCTTATCTCTTCCTCATCCTGCTCACTTCCTCGTTCTTTCCTCCTCCTCTTTCTCCTCTCCTCTTCGCGCCTACCTTCCGTTCCGCGACCTGCTGCTGAGCAAGGAGCGGCGGCGTCCGACCACCTACCCACTTCTTTCTACTTCCTGGTCCCCTACCCCTTTTCCCCCATGTAGTACCCCAGAAAATACCTAACTCTACCCACCCCCAGAATCTGAGGTGACTCTTCATCAAAGGCCGCACTGGTTCCTAGCTCAACTCACGTGCCTCATGAGCCCCAGTGACTCGGATTCCCGGACTCCTGACAGTCCAGCGCCGGGCCGGGAGCCCGGCCCCGGGCCCCTATCATCCGATCATCGCGCCGGGCGGGATCCCCGCCGCGAGACCGTACTTCCGGAGACAGGCTCCCGCCGCCGCGGTACGGTCGGACTCGAGAGCCTTCAGGCTCCGAGTCCGTACGCCGCGGGCACGGTTCCGAAGTTCCGGGGGCCGCGCCCGGTCCGCGCGGCACCGTCCGGGGACTGAGTCCGATCCGTCACGTCGGAGTCCCGGCCGCGGCCGGCGGCACTGCACCGCGGCACCTGACTCGGCACTACTCTGCCTCGACTGAGTCAACCGGATGCCTGCCCTGACCGTACTTGTGCTTGCAGACGCAAATGCCATGATTGTCAGGTCGCATCTAATAATGACATTTACTTCAAAGCTAGCCAGTACGCCGTTTGAGCCCGGGCCTCTTCCCTCAGCTCTTGGATGTAGTGGCACTGACTTGCCTTGCCAGCCTCCGCAGTACCGGCCTGGCTTCGAGGCTGGCCAAAAGACGCAGCTGGACCGTAGTGCAACTCGGCATTCAAAATATGATTGTCACAGACTACACACCCCGACAAGGCCCCGGGTCAGCCGCATCTGTTACACCCCGAAGCTTTACGGGTTGCACACAAACCAAGCGAATGCTCAAAGAACCTCCGCTGGATCACACAGATGGTGCTAGACAGTATTATCAAGCTTTATTGCAGCAACCACACCAACACAGGGAAATGCGTGGTACACAGAGGGAGGGAAGACAGACCACACCTAGAGATGAAGATCTTGATCCTTTTATAGACCTGTGGAAGTCCCAGGGGTAGTGGTCCTCGCTTGCACGAGTCTTCCTGCCTCGTGCCGTCGCTATGGCCCCTTTGGTCCATGCCCTGCTCCTGTTCTTGTTTCTACCAGAAAGGAGAGCTCCACCGGTGCTTGATAGGGAAGCCGTCCCGGAGGGGTCCGCCAGGCTTCTGAACCAAAGTAGCCGTTAGAGAATCACTGTCTTTCGTCTGGATAGTTGTAGAGGCTATCCTTGTGCGCTGTCCACATTTCGAGTGTTGACCACTCCTGTGTTGGGCTCGATATCCTATGAGCTCTGATAGCATCGCACTGCCCCTCCTACTTGTTGTGACCTCCTGCCGGACCTCCAATGGCCCCTCCCTGCAAGTACTCCTCACCCCGCCACCCCCAGCATCGACACCACCCACTCGTCTCCTGCCTCGCCTCCCGGCCCCAGCACACTTGCCGTCCTCTCGTCCTCGTGCCCCAGGATCTCGTGACCCCGCTGGTAGTGCTCCTCGTAGCAAAAGCCCGCCTCGCCCAGCTCTCGGTTCGTCTCCGGCGAGCTCTCCAAGGTCCACAGCGCCTCCAGCCCTGCCGACGCCTTGCCGTCCGCCCAGAACGCGTCCCCGTCATACAAGCAAGCGCTCAGAGGCCCCAGCCCGTCGTCGCTGTGAAGCCTGACGTCGAAGGCTCGAGGGCTGCTAGCGGCAGCCGGCAACGACTCGAAGGCTTGCTCTCTCCACTCCACGCACTCGCGTCCGGCGCTGACGCACCTGACGCAGGGGCGGGACGGCTCGCACCTCGTCTTGGTCTGACGGCAGAGCTCGCAGGCTCGCTCGACTCTCTTCCTCCTCTGCCACGGAAACAACTTGCTCGTCGTCGTGCCGTCCGCTTGCGAGTCTGCGCCGAGCGGAGCCACGCGCTCCTGCTCGCCAGCCCTCACGACGGCTGTTGTCGCAGCGTACTCCTGACACTCGCTGCAGGCGAGCATGAAGTTGGTCGTGCAGCGCGTGCAGGGCTTATCCATGCTGCACTTGAGCTTCCGCTGGCGGCATCCTTGGCAAGACCTTCTCTTCTCGGCCCGGCGGGTCAGCTTGGGCCAGCTCGGGCTATCAGAGGCGAGGCCGACGGCATGCCATGCGCTGTAGGCGAAGCAGACCTGACCGCAGCCCCGGCGGTTGCACCGCGAGCACGGACGGAAGTCATCGCACTTGACCTTGTTGAACTTGCAGCGGAAGCAGGCGGCGGAGGCTCGACGGGGGGGGGCGATGGCATCTTGATAGGAGGGGAAGGGGAGGGAGAGAGAGCCAGGAGCAGGAGGACAGGGGGCCTTGATAGGGGAGGAAGAAGGAGAAGTCTGGGCTTCGAGGGGAAGGGTGTGGAGCATGTTTCAAGGTGTGGGGGCAGGGAACGCTAGAAGCGGACCGCCACTTCGTGTCGGAGTGCTGCGTCGTCATTTGAAGGCAGCATACTAAAGGGGGGGGGTACTGGCGCGTGGGGAGGGGAAGGGGTAAGAAGCAGAGGAGGGATGTGGGAGTAAAGGGGCTGGGGGTCGGGGGTCCGGCGGAGGCAGCGTGATCAGGTGAGGGGGGGGTATCGGTGACTCTGAAACTCCGGTGTCATCATCCGGAGCGAACCGACGCGTTTTCTCCGAGGGCGACCGTCACTTGGAGAACTCGCAACGGTTCGCTCCGGGGCCTTAATCCTATGGACACCTATACGCCCCGAGGTCCTAGGCTCCTAGGACTCAAAGGCCCCCTACAACGGTGCTCCGAGCGTCAATCATTAAAAAAAATTAGTAACTGATTTTTAACGTGCTCACCTTCATCTCCTTCCTCCCCTCGGTCACCTATGCCCTCCCCATGTCCTCTTGCTCCTGGCTCTCCCTCCCTCCCCTTCCCCTCCTATCAAGATGCCATCGCCCCCCCCCGTCGAGCCTCCGCCGCCTGCTTCCGCTGCAAGTTCAACAAGGTCAAGTGCGATGACTTCCGTCCGTGCTCGCGGTGCAACCGCCGGGGCTGCGGTCAGGTCTGCTTCGCCTACAGCGCATGGCATGCCGTCGGCCTCGCCTCTGATAGCCCGAGCTGGCCCAAGCTGACCCGCCGGGCCGAGAAGAGAAGGTCTTGCCAAGGATGCCGCCAGCGGAAGCTCAAGTGCAGCATGGATAAGCCCTGCACGCGCTGCACGACCAACTTCATGCTCGCCTGCAGCGAGTGTCAGGAGTACGCTGCGACAACAGCCGTCGTGAGGGCTGGCGAGCAGGAGCGCGTGGCTCCGCTCGGCGCAGACTCGCAAGCGGACGGCACGACGACGAGCAAGTTGTTTCCGTGGCAGAGGAGGAAGAGAGTCGAGCGAGCCTGCGAGCTCTGCCGTCAGACCAAGACGAGGTGCGAGCCGTCCCGCCCCTGCGTCAGGTGCGTCAGTGCCGGGCGCGAGTGCGTGGAGTGGAGGGAGCAAGCCTCCGAGTCGTTGCCGGCTGCCGCTAGCAGCCCTCGAGCCTTCGACGTCAGGCTTCACAGCGACGACGGGCTGGGGCCTCTGAGCGCTTGCTTGTATGACGGGGACGCGTTCTGGGCGGACGGCAAGGCGTCGGCAGGGCTGGAGGCGCTGTGGACCTTGGAGAGCTCGCCGGAGACGAACCGAGAGCTGGGCGAGGCGGGCTTTTGCTACGAGGAGCACTACCAGCGGGGTCACGAGGTCCTGCGGCACGAGGACGAGAGTCAGACGGCAAGTGCGCTGGGGCCGGGAGGCGAGGCAGGAGACGAGTGGGTGGTGTCGATGCTGGGGGTGGCGGGGTGAGGAGTACTTGCAGGGAGGGGCCATTGGAGGTCCGGCAGGAGGTCACAACAAGTAGCAGGGGCAGTGCGATGCGGCTGACCCTTGTCGGGGTCCGTGTGTAGTCTGTGACAATCGTATTTTGAATGCCGAGTTGCACTACGGTCCAGCTGCGTCTTTTGGCCAGCCTCGAAGCCAGGCCGGTACTGCGGAGGCTGGCAAGGCAAGTCAGTGCCATTACATCCAGTAAACAACATTACAAAATGCTACCTGACACACACCCCTGAGCATATGCCTTGGATCCGCCATATGCATATCCATGGAAAGCCCAGATTCGAGGCAATCGAACATCACACAGCAGTACAGGAGCACGTGGTAGATGGAGTGAGGATCATGGAACAGGCTCCCATCCTCCTTATCACGGTCCGCTGGACCATGGCGTTTACCCTGAGGCTGTTACGGCAACTACAGAGGTTCATCAAGACGGAGGCCACGATGCCCTTGGGCTCCATCCACTTCGCAAACCTCTCAAAGAAGCGCATGGGAAGATGGGAGTCCATCCTGCCCAGCGCATCCTCGTGATCGTAGAGGTCTTAGAGGATATCCCTCCTCCCGGTCCTGAAATTATCCCTGTAGAGAAAGTCGAAGCCGCCCTCAGAGCCGGGGACCAGCGGCGGTAATACCCATCCGCCCCGCGGACATAGGCCGTCCCCTCCCGATTCACATCGAAGGGATGGCGGAGCTCGAGGTTCTTCATCACCGCCCCAAAGCCCGAGGAGCTCGCAACCCTCGCAAGCCTCTCGTTCGACCAGTAGCAGTGCCAACCGCAGCCAGTGAAGCACACCATCACGTCGTTCCTGAAGCTGGAACCGAACCTCTTCTTGCCAAGCTTCGAAGCCCCATACACAGGCTTGAAGCCATCCACCAGCTCCCGCATTGCGATATCATGGCTATACACCGCGCCGAAGTGGAAGGAGACCAGACGATTCCCCATCTTCTTCATGAAGTCCAACACGCTTATGTTGTTCTTCTTCAGGAGCATTGGAAGGGGATAAGGCACGCGGAGTTCAAGAAAAAGGAGCATCAAGACCATTTATGGAATGGATACCATGGGAATGGAGATGAGGAACGGGACCGGGATGGTCCAGACTTCCGCAAGTCCCGTTGTGGAGACCGGGCAGACGCTCCCCTGCAATGTCATCGATGCCCTGGAGGGGGCGATGTTTAACGTGAGCTGCTCGGGGAGGGTGGATTTCATGGTGGACATCCTGGACCGGAGGGGAGATCCAGTGGTGGTGAGGTGCTTCCACCGGGCCTGCTGGATATTAAGCATAAGTTTCTCACCCCTGTCGATCTAGAACAGACTCTTGCACATACATCTAGGAGGCAGGCAGGCAGGCAGGCAGGCAGGCAGGGAGGGAGGGAGGCAGGCAGGCAGGCAGGCAGGGAGCGAAGGCAGGCAGGCAGGCAGGCAGGCAGGCAGGCAGGCAGGCAGGCAGGCAGGCAGGCAGGCAGGGTGGGAGGGAGGGAAGCAGGCAGGGAGTGAGCGAAGGCAGGCAGGGAGGCAGTGTGCAGGCAGAAAGGCAGGGAGGCAGGCAGGCAGGCAGGCATATAGACAGACATATGAGTCTGTATTAGAGAAACATTGAAAGGTTTGTATGGGTGGGGTTCAAGTACTAGGAGGCTTAGACATGTTGACAAGGATGTTTCAACAATCATTGAATTCACCTCAGGGGCGACGTAGGTGATTCGGTCTTTCAGGAAACACCTTGAAACAAGCGAGTGTATTCAGTGCCGCATTCCAGTCCCGGGATTTAATCGGCTTTTCTTTGCAACTGCCACGATAATAGTCAGACGAAAAGGTGAATTACGCCAGTATACAAAATATTACCTCGATGATCTGGACTTCTCCTTGTTTCCAACCTCCAGGTCCCGTCTGGTTTTTTCCTTTTCATTTCAATCCGTCGAAGTACATAGAGCTCAGAACCACAATCGTTACAGCACTTCGTAGTGCGATATTCGTCAATATCGACGACTCTGTAATGATTCTCGAATCCCCTTCTGCTCCTCCTGACTGGTACCAGCCGTTCTCCTTAAAGTCCTGAAGACGGGAACCTTGCATTTCCATAGGCGACAACAGGTTCTATTTCTCCCAATGTTTTCATTCGGCGGATAAACCTGTCGACTAACTTTCGTTTCGAAATGTAGATGTCGAATTTCATTCTGGCATTCCTTCGCTTTGAATAATGCGTTGTTAACTCTTCCCAATGAGTTGCAATTACACGAAGGTAATCTTCGAATCTTGATAGACTGCCGCCGGACTTTCTCGGGGATGCCGTGAAGGTCTTTTTCGAGAGACCACGATCTTCGAAGAATTTCAACATAAACATTTGTCTCGATTATCTCGAACAGATTTTTCTGCAACCTCTGATCAAATTTGTCATATGAGAAACTAAAGAATTCGTCGTCCATTGATAATCCAATAAGTTGCCTTATAGAATGAATGAAGATTCCTATCTGCTATGAATTATCCCTGTTAAACACGCCTGTCTTCAGCTTGTAGTCTTTCCTTTGAAACAATACATTCTTAACGTCTTCGATTTCTTGCTGATGATTAATATGTAACTCTCCTTTGCAGAATTGGGTAATGAACGTTCCCAATCGGTTTGTAAAATTTGCTTTCAGGTCTTGGTAGAAATTCGTTCCATATTGATTTGCAGCGAATACAATTGCTTGTGAATCCCTTTTGATTCTACACAGGTCAACGAAAAGATGTTTTTTCTCTGACCAGAAACGGTGTAGAGTTGGATACTTGTCATCTTTACGGTTTAATTGTTCCATTCCAAGCGTAAAAACAGTCCAGAAGAACGTTGACTTCGCTCTCTTGATTTCATCGACTACACCTTGTAAGTTCCCTGTATCTCTTCCCCATATCAGAAAACAGTTGAATATCATACTGCCTCTTAATGTGATCTGACTGATATGTAGTACCCATCTATCGATCACGTCCAAGATTGATCTATTCTCTACCTTTAGTATGGAATACAAACCACACTTGACGACTCTTGTAAACGGGTATGCTAGTCTGGTGAAAACGAAATCATGCTAGAAAGTAGACGGTCACTACATTGTTCCATTACCGTCGTTTCAGTGCATTGAACCGTGGGCCACAAACTTTTCTGAGGGCGGGAAGACAGGAGGCCTACCACAAACTTTTGTGGGTGCTGTATGAGGGCCTAAAACAAACCGGTTTGATTTTGATTCTATTCTTAGTGCTTACTACATGACTTTTAGCATTTTAACTCGACTTTTTCCTCCTGTACAATACTTTTAAGAGAGGTTTTCCCTGCTAGAGTCTATTAAAACTTCGTTCATGGATGGAGGAGGCACCAGCCCACGCTATGGCACGCAGCAAGCAGATCGCCCGCAAGTCGACCAGGTCTACTCGTTTCCTCCCCTCCCTCTACTAATCTCTACTTCGAACAGCATGGCATCCGGACTGCCCAGGTGAGCTCGCGTGTGCGTCTAGCCACACTCATGATGGTGTGTCTCAGCGTGGTCAAGATCGAGTCGGAGGACGCGAGCTTCTCGCCCCACATCCGCATGTGAGTCGTCCAAGATCGTCCGTCCCTCCTGCTCGCTGACCTCGTACCGCTCCCAGTCACAACGTAGTCGCGCTCGCCAGGATCAAGGGCCCTCTCCGCCTCGACACGCGGCTGCTGGCTCGCAAGCTGAAGAACGTTCAGTACAGGGGAGACCTCAAGAACTGCTTCGCCGTCACTTTCTGGTTCAAGGACTGCTCTGCCTCCGCCACCGTCTTCAAAACCGGGAGCATCCGGCTGGCAGGAGCCAAGTCCGAGTCAGCGGCCTTGACCCTGATGAGGAGGGTGGTGAGGAGGATCGCGAGGATCATCGAGGAGGTGCGAGGCTTCGACAAGTTCAGGCTCGTCAACACGGTCGGTGGCTTCGAGACGAGGGGCTTCATCGACAGAGAGAGGTCCTACCTCAGCCTCGCCCGCAAGCACCCGGCTACCTACGAGCCCGCGCTGGCAATGGGCATCATGGTCAAGCTCGAGTGGCTCAAGGTGACGGAGGCGGGAGGGGAGGGAGCGGGCGACTGACGCGTGCGAGCAGGTGACTGTGCGCATTCAGCGGCAGAGTGTGCAGATCTTCGGGGCGAAGAGACTCGGCGACCTGTCGCTCGCCATGCAGACCGTGATGCCGCTGCTGGTGTACGTACAGGAGGGAGGCAGCTACCAATGGACGGGCCGGGGATGGGGGAAGTCCACGGCAGGAGGGATGTGGTTTTTGGGTGAATCCTAGGGATCAAGTATTACTGACGAGTGTGATTAAATGAATGTTTGTCTTTACTTGTTTTGTTCTTCTCCTCGATCTAGTAATGAGTGAGATTCCTTGACCAGGCACTATCAAATCCGAGCATTTCTGTTGGACTAGAAATTAGATTACAAGTCCACAACACAACTTCCGAAAGCTCTGTAGTGAAAGAAAGATTTACTTTTTACAAAGCGGAATATTACATATCAAAATCTGTATGCATGCCTCTTGTATATTCAGTTCACTTAAGAACACCAGAACCAAGCAACTCCACGATTATCAGGACGATGGGTCAACAAAGCAATCAGGCAAGCATGCACATTCATTGTAAGGGAGCATTTTCCTCCGGTGTTCTGCCATTTTTTGGGAACGGCGTCGCCATGTTGAAATGCTCACACCAATAGTCCGTGTAGTTCTTGAGCAAATGAGGCTCTGACGTCTTGTCGTAGTCGTCATAGAGCTTTGCGCAGTATTCTCGATCGATGTCTCCTCCGAGCAGCGCGGTGAACGAAGCAAACATCCACGATATCAGCTGATCAGTCCTCCAGGTGGAACTCCTGTCTTTAGAAAAGTCATTCTTCCTTTTGATACAGCCCCCCCCCTGCTCCTGCTCCTGCTGCTGCTTCTGCTTCTGCTCCTGCTCCTGCTCCTGCTCCTGCTCCTGCTCCTGCTCCTGCTCCTGCTCCTGCTCCTGCTCCTGCTCCTGCTCCTGCTCCTGCTCCTGCTCCTCCCCTACTCCTCCTGCTGCTTCTGCTCCTGATGCTCCTTCTCATGGTCCTCCTCTGCTCCTCCGGCTGCTTCTGCTCCTGATCCTTCTCCTGCTCCTGCTCCTGCTCCTGCTCCTGCTCCTGCTCCTGCTCCTGCTCCTGCTCCTGCTCCTTCTCATGGTCCTCCCTTACTCCCCCTGTTCCTCCTGTCTCTCCACTTCCTGCACTTGGACAGTCCGACCGAACCAACCAGCCATGAACTGCATATATTCCATTTTAATTTTAAGTATTTCATACAAAAATATTTCAAAATGGTTTTATTGAAGTTATATTTGTCTAATTTTCTGTAACTGTATTTCTTATACATTATATATACAGTCAAAGTGTAAAAACACTTTTTGAAGCTATTTTCGGTACTGCCCTCCCGCACCATGGCGATCAAGGCTCAGGTCAGTTTCAGCACTGGCGGCCACGGGGTGACAGACTGCTGGGGAGGGGATGAGCCTCTGGGGGGGGAGTGAGGAGGAGGAGGAGAAGGAGGAGAAGGAGGAGGAGGAGGAGGAGGAGGAGAATATGGTTATGGCTGTGGGATAGTTGTAAAGGACTGAGGAGTAGGCACAGAGTGAATTGTCAGGAGTCATGAATATAGAGATTCGTCGAGGCATCGAGAGTAAGGAGATGCAGAACGATCAGGTCTTTCTTTGGTCGCCATATTCGCTGCTGATGTCTACCCGCACATCTCGGCGACGACTGACCGTGTGCAGCAGGGGCAAGAGGGCTATGGCTCGACGAGCATGCGGCAGGGTGACCATGTCATCTATGTGAGCATCGGAGATGCCCAGGGTCGCAGAAGACATTTTGGTGAGAATCGGATGGGAAAGGCTGTGTTGGGAGGCCTTGCCTTGGTTCTTTGTGCCTGCCTCCTCGTTTCTTCAGCCATGGAGGAACGAAAGTATGTACCCTTCTCCAGCGTTCTTGCGGTGTGGAAGGAGCAGATGGCAAACATCAAGAAGCTTGAAATGCAGCTTGCTGCCAAGGAGGTGAAGAAGGACATGGTAAACAAGGCTTCGATGCACCTGCGCGCTGCGGACAAAGCGATCGCATTTCAGCTGGCAGCTCAGCCGGTCACAAGCAAGCTTGCAGTAGACTGCGCAAAGAAGGACTCGTATGACATCCTGAAGAACGCTTTTACTGGCCTTGCAACCAACATCTCAGCTGAGAATGCAACCTTGTTTGCCAAGGACCAGGAGCTGTACGCGGCTGCCACAGAGGCCAAGGAAAAGTGGCTCACAGCTGAATCCAAGTTTCGCAGCGCAGAATCCGATCACAAGTCAGCTAAGGAAGCTGCAGCCTACGCAAGGTCAAAGTACGACTTTTACGAGTCGGCGGTGACTCAGGGCCAGAACGAGTATGATGCGGTCAAACCCCAACTTGATTCTGAGAAGAGTCAGTTGTCTGCAGAGCTCCCAATCTTGCAGCAGATCAAGGCCCTGATTAGCTCGATGAACGGAGCATCGACTAAGGCAGCCCCTACTTCTCTCATGCAGGTTGGCAACTTGAAGTCGCTCATCCTCTCGCTCTCCCCACCGTCCCGGAACAAGAAGATCGCGAAACAAATCACTCACGTTCGAACGGTTCTGGCAGAGACTAACACAGTCGGCACCATGGCTAGCATGCTTTCAGTCATTGACGGGATTGTTTCTCACATTGAAACCCGAGTCACCGAGATCAACAACGATGTCGCCAGGATGGAGAGCGATCTCAACGACAACAAGGGAAAGAGAGAGTCTTGGCAAGAGAAGGTCGTGGATCTCTCAGACGCTGCTGATAAGGCCGAGAACAAGATGAACTCGGCTGGTTTGGTCCGCCAGCAGCTCGGTAAGTGATAGAGAGGAGGGGGTGTAAGGGTTGAAGAGCAGTGAAGATTCATCCAGGTGGAGATCACTTGGTCAAGCAACAGGACTACGAGGACAATCACGCTACCTTCTTGGACGAGGCTGAGAAGGTTTGTGACTGATGAATTGTCAAACGGACAGCTGACATAAACTTTGCAGTTGACCAGACAGTCGACAGCCATTGCAGTCATTCTGAAGAAGATCAATGATGCAATCAGTCAATGCGGCTAGGTTGCAAAGCGCCATAGCTTTGCCATACTTTCAAACACATCTTTCTTCTCACTCGTCAAGTTTGAGTAAAGTTTTTTTACTTGCATCACAGCTCTGCACTCGCAGCACTGAATTAGCAAAACCTGTGTAATCACCAACACACAAGTGTCTTCTTTCAACAGTAATAATACACAATTCATTTCTCTTGTTTCAATTGCACACTGGTTAGCTTCATCCACCTTGCTCGAACCCTGCGAGCCTTATGATCAGGTAGAGGAACTATCAGTAAGAGTTCGCACATGTCCGAACGGCAGGCCCCTCAGGCATCGTCGTCTGCCGCGCCTCCACTGACGTTCTTGAACTCATGCAGCGTGTGGTAAATCGTTCTGAACGCAATGTCGATATCCCTCTTGTTCTTGGCACCCGTAAGAACAATTTTCCCCGAGACGAAGATAAGGAGCACAACCTGAAACTCTCTCAGCACATCCTTGTACCATCAGCAAGAGGGCAGTCAAACCTTGGGTACCAACATTCGGTAGATGAGACCAGGGAACAGCTCGGGCTCGTAGCTGCAGTAGTTCTGATGAGCATATGCAAGCTTCTCCAAGCGGATGGGAAAGCGAACATCGCACGATCCCACGATGTTCTGTATCTTGAACTCTGTGAACTTGGCGCTGAATCCAAGCTTCTGGATGATGCGAGCAAATTTTCTGGAGGCTAACCTTGCACTCTCTTCGCTCTTGGCTCCTGTGCACACCATCTTCCCCGAGGCAAAGATGAGCGCTGTTGTCTTAGGCTCTCGAATTCGCATGATCACTGCTGCAAATCGCTTGGGATTGTACTCGGCGTTTCTGGCCTGAAGCGTGATAGTCTTCAAGTTCAAGCTGCAGTTGAGATTCACTGTCGCAACGATGTTTCTGCACAATCAAGTTCAACGAGTGGTCAAGTCAGACAACGAGCAGCTTACTGCAAGGACGGCGTGATGCCATTTGTCATGTCCAGATCATTGTCATACTCATTCATCATTCCATTATCACCCATGTCATCGTTCATCGACATGTTGATGCTGATCAAACTTTGAGATCTCCAGAGAATCCGTCCGTGGAGAACTCAGGCGAGCAAGTTCAGGTTGTGCAGTGGATAGGGCTGTCTGGTTACAAGCTATAGCGCCATGAATCTCACGCTCTGACCGGTCCAAGTCTGTAGTGACCAGTAAGAGAGATGGAGCTAACAAAATAATGGGCAAGAGAAACATCGTTTGGGCATGCGGTGACAGAAACATAGCACGAGACGAAACAATGACGGGTATGCACGCATGCCGGTACACCAATAGCGCATAAACATGCACTGTAATACTCCCTATACAGCGATGAGAAACCAACTAGTCATGTCAAGTGAAATAACAATCATTCACTCGATATGCAAAGCGATTGACCCTATGGCTGCCCCTTCCTAACGAAAAACCTTTCACACGCATATTTCCCTTTCATCCGATGCTACATAAAGAATAAACCACTTTTCCTACCATTTCATCACAAAATGATTCTTCGCCATCACAAAAATGTTTTCAGTGAGGACTAATATCCTAATCCTCCTCCATCCTCCTCCCTCCCATACACGATTTCATCCCGCTGCCGCCGCATGGCGACAACCACATCGATCCAGGAATTGCCAAGGGGGTCTTTTGAAGACATGGACCCACCCCTCTATCCACATAATCTCCTAAGGAGCTAGGAAAATCAGTTGACACTTATACTAATTTATTTTTATCAAATATGTCATCGGCAATGTAGACTAAAACATGTGAGGGGTAGGACAGACCACCCACTAGTAATTTTGCACCCACCCCGGTAATATTTATACTGCTTTCCGCGTGGGAAGGAACAAAAATAACGACAAATTGGTTTTAAATCCTCTAAATGTATTTCTGGTACACAAATGCAATTGAAGTTGAAAAAATAAGAATTGCTTAATGTTATGTCATGTACAAATTAATATATCTATTGTATAAATTCGTAATAAATTTAGTACACGAATATCCTTATATCGAGTATATACACAAATATGATGAAAAATAATCAGATTACAGTACCAATTTGAGTAGAGTTTATTTGTACCATTTTTAACATTTGTACAGAGTAGAACAATAATATTTTTGAATGGTACAAGGAGCCCAAAAATGTAATTGAGTTAGCTGTGAGTGCACGGCTTTGCTCGTAGAATGCAAGTAGAGCGGGGGCAAAAGGGGGATGAGGGTAAAACAGGGGTTGTCGGGGCATGGCCGGGGCTGACTGGATAGCGAGATGCAGGAAGCAGGGGGAGGAGATCAAGAAGATCGTGAGAGCATGTGAGGAGGAGGGGAGGAGCTTCGTAGACCCGCTCTTCCCTCCTTCCCCCTCCTCGCTCGCTCGATGCACAGGGCACGAGGAGGTCTGGTCGTGGAGACGACCGTCGGAGATGTGCGATGGAGAGCCCTCGTTGTTCTCAGGTGGGATGGGAGCTGGAGATGTCGTGCAGGGGAGGCTCAGGGACTGCTGGTATCTTGGAGCGCTCTCCATCATGGCAGGGAGGAGGAGGGAGAGGCTGGAGGCTCTGGTGTGCTTCGGCTGGGTTGCTCGAGGGGTCCATGCGGTACGGTTCTTTGTGGAAGGGAGGTGGGTGGTGGTGGTGGTAGACGATCTGATCCCGTGCGATCGTTTCGGAAGGCCCATCTTCGGGAGGTGCAGGAAGATGGAGCACTGCTGGGTTCAAATCTTCGAGAAGGCCTTCGCAAAACTCTGCGGGTCGTACGCTGACATCGAGGGTGGGTCAGAGGAGGAGGCCCTGGTTTGCTTGACTGGGGGGATGCCCAAGATTGTTGACCTGCGAGAGGTTCGTTAACGTGTCAGCATGCCCTCCCACCCCTCCTACCCACCCCTCTTACCCACCCCACACACCCACCATCCCCGCTCGCTCTTGCTGCTTATCTCGGCTTGCGCTGTGTTGTAGTGGTTGATGATGATGTGTTGGCCGCCGTCAGAGGGAGGAGCTGCTGCTGGACGGGCAGATGTGGGTCAAGCTAGTCAAGTACTCCGACAACGGGCACCTCATGGGCTGTGCCAACCATGTGGCCGCAACCAGCGGCAACATCATCCGGGATCACGCTTACTCCATCCTGTCAGTCTACTCAGGTAGTGAGGTGAGGACCTAGTGCCCCATGTTTGATGCGTTCTCCTGCAGTTCCGCACGTTCCAGGAGACGGGCTGCTGCTCCTTAGGAACCCTTGGGGCAAGCATGAGTGGACAGGACGCTACTCCCGGGAGTCTCCGTCGTGGGAGGATGTCGACGACAATATCCTGAGCATGCTGGGGCTGACGCGCGAGGCGTTAAGACGGGAGGTATTCGAGGATGGCAGCTTCTTCATGTGCTGGGAGGATTTCTACTCCCACTTCGACAGGATCTACGTGTGCAAGCTGCCCAAGTCAGGATCTTCCCGCCTCACGCTGGAGGGGAGCTGGAGAGGGGAGAGAGCGGGGGGCTGTCTGAACCATCCTACCTTCTCCGACAATCCCCAGTACCATCTCACGGTCCCGTTCCCTTCCACCATCCTCGTTCAACTGTTCCAGAAGCAGGATCAGAGCGATCAGAGCTGGAGGCTGTCCACCAGCCCAGCTCGGCATATCGGTGATCCGTGCTGGGGTGCTTGGTGAGGCGCGGCTGAGCGTGCCCTGCAGGCCTGTATGTGGTGGTTGCCAACGACCTGCCCGAGGAGAGGGCGCTGTGCTACGTGAAAGATGCTCCGGGGATCATGGTAGCGAAGACCAAGGTCTTCTTGAACGCATGGCAGACTTCGGTCAAGTTCAGGACCGCTGGGTACGAAAAGTTTGTGATATTCCCCTGCACCTTCACGCCGGGGGTCGAGGGTCAGTTCGCGGTCTCCGTGCTGACCCTGGGGGCCTCTCGCCCCGTCGTGCTCAAGGAGCTGACGCTGCGCCATGAGAAGGTAGCGGTGGAGGGAGAGTGGGGGCTGGAGAGCTGCGGGGGGTGTATGAATCATGCTACATGGCTGGAGAACCCAGCGGTGCTCTTGCACGTCAAGACCCCAGGGGGCAAGGCCTCCCTCTTCCTCCAGCTCAGCATCCAGCTGCAGGCGTCGACAGGGATGGGACTCTACGTCTTCGCCTATGAAGGGGAGCCGTCCATCGGCAGGAGGAACCTCGTCCGCTCGACTGAGCCCTTCATGGTCGCCAGACAGGTTGAAAGCCGAGGCTCCTCCCTGTACCCTCCAGAACCTCTCAATACACCCTTCCGCACCATCCTCGCCCTCCTCGCCCTGCTCCTCTTCCTCCTCCTCCGCCTCCTGATCTGAGCTTCAGGTCTCCCTGGATGTGTCAGGCCTCGTTGGCTCCTTCCTCGTCCTGCCATGCACCTTTGAGCCGATGCAGCACATGGGAGCTTTCACTCTCACGCTCTTCAAGGACCCGGAGGTGACGGAAGTCTCACCCCCTTACAATCCTCTTCTCATCTTCTTCCTCTCGCTTTCATCGTCCTTGTGCCCTCCTCTCATCCTCTCCTCCTCTCCTCTCCTCCTCCTCTCCTCCTCCTCTCCTCCTCCTCTCCTCCTCTCCTCCTCTCATCCTCTCCTCTCTTCTCCCTGCTCACTGTTTCTTCCTCTCCCCGCAGATCGAGGCTAGCATGGAACTTCTCTCCTGCTCCTGCAGGCAGCTCTTCTCGCACGGGGAGCTAGGGAGGGTCTTCTCCATCCCCGATCGATCGCTGCTGCTACAGGAGGTGAGCAACGGTCAGCATCGTATCCTCCCTGACGCTGCTGCAGATCCATCGCCTCCTCCAGCTCCCTGCCCGCCTCTCTGCCTCCAGCCAGACACCGCGAGAGAGTCATGGGCATAGAGTGAGGGTAACAAAGGTAGGAGGAAGGAGTAAGGAGGAAGGAGGAAGGAGGAAGGAGGCGGAGTCGCTCACTTGGTTTGAAGGAGGACGAGGACGAGGACCTTGAGCTCGCTATCGCCCTGTCGCTGAGTGAGAAGGAGGCAGGGAGCTCGTAGGTGGCGAGGGGAGCGAGATGTGAAGGATGGGAGGGGGCAAAGATGCGAGGGGGGTGAGGAAGGCAAAGAACGGGAGAGGAACATGCGAGCAAGGGAGCACAGGGAGCGGGAAGTAGAGAGTACAGGGAGCAGGGAGGAAGGGAGCAGAGAGCAGGGAGCAAGGGAGCGGGGAGCAGGGCAAGGGGGGGAGAAGAAAAGTATCACTGTAAACTATACGATCTTAATGAAACAATAAAATTTTGAGAGCTTGACAGGGTTGACCGCTACAGGGTCAACCAGTAGTCTACGTATGGGCAATCAGAAGGCTTGGGAGGGAAGGAGGATTGAGCAGTCTGCAGGAGGAACAGGTCAGGTGCAGCTGGGAAGAGAGGGTGTCATACCGGGCAGATGGAGGTGGGAATGGAAGAGAGATGGTCGAGAGAAACCTTAGGGCGATTGACAACGCGGAAAGTTGCTTCGCCGGGAGAGACATTCTCGCTGAGATGAGAGGTGAGAGGAGAGGAGGAGAGGAGGAGGGAGGAAGAGGAGAGGAGAAAGGAGGAGGAGAGGAGGAGGAGGAGGAGGAGGAGGAGGAGAGGAGGAGGAGAAGAATTGGAGAGGAGTAGGAGATGTAGAGGCTGGGGAGCATGGGACAGATAGAACGGAGTGCAGGGGAGGAGGGGATAGGAGGAGGAGAGGAGAAGGGAGGAAGGTAGCAGAGAGATGAGACAAATCTTGTGGAAGGAGCAAATTGAAAACCAGGGAAGGAGGACGTCTCTGGAATGTAAGGAGCAGAAGGGAGGGAGGGAACGAGGTGGAAGAACGAGGAGGAGGAGAAAGGAGGACAGCGAACAACCTTCGGACTCGTTCTACTTGCCCGTCGTAGAGGAGAGTCTCTACAAGCTGAAAGACTTCCTCCATCGTCAGATCACACTTGATCACGTCTGCACCATTGTCAGTTGCAGGTGGTGAGGCAGCGAAAGATGACAAGGAAAGTGGAGGAGGGAGAAAGAGTAGGGGGAGGACGAGGACGAGGACGAGGACGAGGACGAGGACAAGGACGAGGACAAGGACGAGGACGAGGACGAGGACGAGGACAAGGACAAGGACAAGGACAAGGACAAGGACAAGGACGAGGACGAGGACGAGGACGAGGACAGGAAGTTGCAAGAGAAAGGGCGGGGGACGAGAGGCGGAGGAGGAGCATGGAATACCCTTGGCTTTCAGAAAGTCCCTGACCTCAGCTACCGAGCCTCCCTTCCTCTGTCTCATGTTGAAGAAGCAGAGAGCAATCTGTGCGCTGCTTTCGACCATCTCCGTGTCCAGCTCGCCGGACGTGTACCTTGCAAGCAGCATGAGGACAGCAACAACCATCCTCCTGCTGCTCCTTCTCATCCTGCTCCTCCTGCTCCTGCTCCTGCTCCTGCTCCTGCTCCTGCTCCTGCTCCTGCTCCTGCTCCTGTTCACAGTCTCGTGCTCCTGCTCTTGCTCTTGCCCTTCCTTCTCCTGCCCCTGCCCCTGCTTCTCTTGCTCCTCCTGCTCCTCCTCACCAGTTCCCTCCCGTCAGCTCTGCGCTCGGTTCGAGCTCGTTGAGGATGTACATCTTCTTCTTCCCCGTGTGCACGGAGGTGAAGTCTTTGATGAGTTTCCTTAGCAGACAAGGCACGTCAGGCCCTCCCGGACACCACGGGCAGCGCGGTCGGCACCTCTTCATCAGCTTCTCGATGATAGTCTTGATCGTGTTCTGGTTCGTAATCCCCGTCCTGGACTTG